TGAAGAAGATAGAGAAATTTCTTTTTTAAGAAACGAAGCAACAGATAGAATTTAAGATTTTATTGTCTGTAAGAATAAATATGAAAGACAGCCACCCTCTATCATTTAAACCCGCACATTAAGTATGGAAGAGAAATGCCCTTCAGGATTTTTTAGCCCTTTAGGAATGGTGAAGTGCCTCTCATCCTGTCTTAACTGCTGGAACGGAAGAAAATGTCCATACTCAACCGAAGCGAAAAGTGAAAGCACTTGAGAAACTGTGTTTTAGGACAGAAGAATTTGTGGAGAAAACTGTGAGGATGAAACGTCATACAACTATTCCAAATACAGCTGTTCCGCGAATTGGACTTGGGAGCGTTTGATTAGCCCTACAAAGCGCTGCTGACTAATGTTTACTTGACCCGATTGGCTCGCAAATTTCTTCCTGGCACATGCTGGTATCGCACTTAGAGTATTTAGGAAAGATGTTCCGAGAGATAATTGTACAACTCTTGGTGAATGACGAGAGTGGAGAGAGGAATAACAATCTGTGGTATATGAGATATAAAAGAAAATAACCCCCATTTGAAAAAAACTAATTTGATAAAATCATAAGAAACAAATCTGCAAAACGATGAAGAAAATCTACGAGCAATCCTTTGAAAAATACTAGCCACTTTCCGCTACCAAGTCATCTTTGGAACATTAACATGCAAGAAGTATAAAGCGCACAAAAATTTAAAGATCTGCATCTCTTCCAGTAGGGATAACTTAACTGTGAAAGTTTCAAACTGCACCGCATTTGATTAAAACGTCTACAATCTCGCCTGCCTTTGAAGCACCATCCGGAAAGTTGCTCTTTTAGAGCTGTGCTCCATAAAGTGCGTTTTTCAAATGAATGATTGAATAACTCTAGCCACAGGGGATTTTGATATTGAATCCGCGAGATCCCAATAACAGCTCTGTTAGCGCATACCTGGCATTATAGCAATAAGAAGACTACGGTATGGTTTGTTTAGAGAAGATTGTCCGTAAATTCATTTTTTATGTTTTTTAGTTGCCTTTCAAAGAAACTGTTGAAAAAGCAGAGCCCTGAATAATAAATACACTTTCTTGATGTTCGTTGTAGATTTCCATCTAACCGAACATCCTCTTGTGATCCATAAATAAGAACTTGAGATTTGAAGCCAAGTATGTCATATTCATCTTAGGACCCTCAAACCCTCAAAATCAATGTGATTTACATGTATCAAAGTTTGCCACGAGAACGTACATAGCACTTTCCAGTCCGATTTCAAAGGTTTTACATTAGACGTGAAATGCTTTGGGCGCACTGCAGCAGAATTATGGCAAGTCTAGAAAAGTTAGGTAATTTTGCGTCCAAATTGTGCTGACAATGGCAGGCGCTTACTGAGAACAAAATTTTCAAAACATATCTAAAGAAGAGTGCTATGGATGACGAAGAAGCGACATTTTATGCGCACATTTTCTTGGGTCCACTTAAAACTGAAAAAATGCACATATTGGTACAAAAATAAACTTTTATTCATCTGTCACTCTTTTTTCTCCAATGTGCGTAAACAAAAGCGACGCATAAGTTCGGTAAGCAGTTTTCTCATATAAGGCAATAACGAGAACGCACAAGGTTTGTCGAGGTTGAAAGGGAAGATAAGAGATTTGGAGGTAATGGACCGGAACTACTAGTTACCCGTGTCGTGTATGGGTGTACCAGCTCAAAAGAGCATTGTTGACGGTGCATGCTCACCACGACTACTCAACCAATAAACAGCTATAGACCGGTTTCAGTATATGTGAACGCGATACTTTTGCCTCTTTACAAACTATAGATGTATTATCTGCGAGCACCTTTATCGAAAGCTCCAAAAACCGTACCTTCCTTTATTTTGCTATTAGAAGGTTAATTTAATATGAAAGTGAACAGTAATCTCAAGAACAACTTGCTTAAATTATTCAAGTAGCAGATGAGATATCATCATAACGCGAAAATGTAGCGATATCATTACTGGAAAAGTGGGAACCCTTCGAAACACCTCGCTGTGAACAAACCTTACCAAGAGTTGCCATAGTAGGGACAGTCGATGAACGCCGGGTGGGTAGCGGAATGTAGAATTATACAAGTGTAGCGAAGGTTGGCTTGCTGACAATTATACCAACGTGAGAGATGTGATGAAC